ATAATCCTCAAATGGAAGACGTTTGGGACGACCAGAACCCTTCCTAGAGCTGGCCGTCCGGCCAAACTGAGCTATCGGGGGAGAAGAGCCTTGGTGAGAGAGGTAAAGAAGAACCCAAAGGTCACTGTGGCTGAGCTCCAGAGATGCAGTCGGGAGATGGGAGAAAGTTGTAGTAAGTCAGCCATCACTGCAGCAATCCACCAGTCGGGGCTTTATGGCAGAGTGGCCCGACGGAAGCCTCTCCTCAGTGCAAGACACATGAAAGCCCGCATGGAGTTTGCTAAAAAACACCTGAAGGACTCCAAGATGGTGATAAATAAGATCCTCTGGTCTGATGAGACCAAGATAGAACTTTTTGGCCTTAATTCTAAGCGGTATGTGTGGAGAAAACCAGGCACTGCTCATCACCTGTCCAATACAGTCTCAACAGTGAAGCATGGTGGTGGCAGCATCATGCTGTGGGGGTGTTTTTCAGCTGCAGGGACAGGACAACCGGTTGCAATCGAGGGAAAGATGAATGCGGCCAAGTACATGGATATCCTGGACGAAAACCTTTTCCAGAGTGCTCTGGACCTCAGACTGGGCCGAAGGTTTACCTTCCAACAAGACAATGACCCTAAGCACACCGCTAAAATAACGAAGGAGTGGCTTCACAACAACTCCATGGCTGTTCTTGAATAGCCCAGCCAGAGCCCTGACTTAAACCCAATTGAGCATCTCTGGAGAGACCTGAAAATGGCTGTCCACCAACGTTTACCATCCAACCTGACAGAACTGGAGAGGATCTGTAAGGAGGAATGGCAGAGGATACCCAAATCCAGATGTGAAAAACTTGTTGCATCTTTCCCAAAACGACTCATGGCTGTATTAGATCAAAAGGGTGCTTCTACTAAATACTGAGCAAAGGGTCTGAATACTTATGACCATGTGATATTTCAGTTTTTCTTTTTTAATAAATTAGCAAAAATTTCTACATTTCTGTTTTTTTCTGTCAAGATGGGGTGCTGAGTGTACATTACTGAGAAATAAAATGAACTTTTTTGATTTTTGGAAAATGGCTGCAATGAAACAAAGAGTGAAAAATTTAAAGGGGTCTGAATACTTTCCGTACCCACTGTAGTTACAGATGCCAAAGACAAACAACCCCACCCCATAAATGAGTCAATCAGAGGAAGAAGAACAAAGGAGGTCCGTTGGGATTATGGAGATGTACAGACAGACTGAATGCAAAGAAGTTAGAGTGATATAAAGAAAGATAGAGGCCACTTAAATCCTTGGCACAGGATGGGACTCCACCCGAGGTTGTAAATGATGAAAGCTGCACCATTTTAAAGACGCCGGTCTTGCTTTTGCCACATTCATCTGCACTTCCTGTCTTTAACAATGCACTTCCTTTTCCCAATTTCCTGCATAAGCTCTATTATAAACGTCTCCCCGTGGACAATGAGACTGATTCTTAATTGAAATTCAAAGCAGAAAGGAGGCTGGAGTTTGTTACAGGGTAAAAAAAAGGAAATTATGGTTCCCATGTGGACAAACATTTTATTCACCTTAAAGTGCTCTAGTGGGTTTGCAAGTTTTAGACCATTTACTACAAATTGTATATAAATTGCTTTGTTGATACTACAGTATATTTTCTATGGCATACCATTAGTTTTTAGATTCAAGTCTTAGCCATTCATGGTTTCAGGTCATTTCATTACAGTATAATATAACCTTAAAAACCTGCTTTAGATAGATAACCTTCCCTCACAGGGAACATAACAGCATCTTTATTGTCTAAGCACATAATTTATGTGCGTGTCCTTGTGTAGTAGAGGCTGGAAACTTGGTAGCTTATGGATTTAAGCATCTTATTTAGCTTAAGCCCATTAGAGAAGAAATAGCAAAATCCTGTAATAGCTCATCAAATGGGCTATTTTGATTCTGTTCTTGTCAGCTGATCGTATTTTCTTTTCAAACCTGTTTTTGTTGCATACATTTCTTTACATTTTGGTAAATTGTAACCATTAAAAGTATGCTGAATGAGCTATTAGCAGTTCATGTTTGCAACGTGCCCATGGATATACAGAGAGCTATCACTGGAGATTTCAGGAAGTTGCTGGACCCAGCCAAGTAATTCCAAATAATACTAAGCAGAGCCAGGCAATCTATCTTATACCTCCTGCTTCAAGGAGTGCTAGCTATGCAAAGTTAGCCACAGCTTCATATTTACGTTTGCTTTAATAATCAGAATCAGCTTTATTGCTGGCAGGTTTACATATATGAGAAATATGCTTTAGTGTTTTGGTGCTAAGCAATAAACATGGCAGGAAGAAAAATATAAGAAAGATGAAGATAGAGCAAGTACTGCATGTCAAGTAGTCATAAATATAAAATAGCCAATAAAAAAAATGCATGTATAATATGTTGCTGTTGGGATGTGCAAAATATGACATTAGGTTGGTATTGATCTTATCTGTTTTTATGTATCTTACAGTTTGATTGGCTTAAAGTTAGAATGAAAGCCTAACCAAGCTCACTTTGAACCTGAAAATGTCATTTCACAGACAGCATTTTCATGAAATCTGGAAGGCTTCACCTTCTGAGCAGGTTCAAATTTGGGAGTCAAGGACAGCAGAGGTCTAATTACCATTCAACCTCATTACCATTATTTATCAGTGTAATATTAAGTATTTTTGTGTTTCTCTGTCCACTCAGCTGATTCACATCAAGTCCTGAATTACCTGGATTTCCCCTGAGATCCTTGTCCTGTGAGATCTGCTCTGTGTTTCAGTTTACATTCACACCACAACTAATTAAAACTGAGATATAGGCTATATGTGTACTAAACAAGTATTCATGGTGGAAAAATATTTTCTATCTGTTACTTATCATTTTTATTAGTCCATTATCATATTCCTTGCAATGCGACTTGCGGTCTGAGCGTATATTGAGGTGTGTTGGAGAGTTTAGAGCTAAAGTGTCAGGGCACCGATCGCCCTGTCAGACAGACAGAGAGAGTAAATCTGGTAAGTAAAGCGTGCTCTAAAATTTGGAGGTTTGGCAGATTATTCATTTCTTAATGTTTAAATGTACTGTACCCTAGCGGAGAGAGAGAGAGGGACGTGTGAATCTGTACAGATGTGTAGATAATCATCCAACGAAGGTTAAAATCAAGGGCAACTGGACTTAGTTGAAGCTACTGGAAGACGTTTCGTCCCTCATCCAAAGGACTTCTTCAGTTCTTACTGACTAGTAGGGAAACTCAGCTATTTAACCTCAGTGGGGTCATCGATACCGCTGGTTCGTTAGTGTTCCTGGTTGCTGTGACGACAGTCGTTAGGACTACCTGTGGCCAAGACTATGACTATATGACCTGGATGACTGACAATCTTCACAGACATGTAGATAATAATGTGTATGAAGTACAACGCAGACTCAACAGAGTCTCTGTAAAGAGTACACAAACAGTGACCGCCATCTCTGAACAGAGGTTGAATGCACATTGTTAGATCTGCTTTATGATACGCTCGACTCCTGCATGAAATGTTTGTATTCTGTCTGCGCTGCTTTATTATAAACTGGGAAAACCTACTCATCTCTCCCGTCTCACTCCCTCTTCCTCTGCTTGCAGTTCTCACGCATTGGTTCAGTGTTGTTGCCTGTGGCTGCTTTGACAAACAGTACGTTTCTGTCTGGAAAACGTTGTAAAATCATTGTTAAGAACTAATTGTACTGGCCATTCAAATTTAAGAAAAAACATGAATGTCCCTCAGCATTTAGTATGTCATCATTACAAAGACTGAGTTTCTCTCAGCACCACCAACTCCAACTGACCCTAAAACTAATCAACCAACCCTTAGCGGACGGAGGAGAGGACAAGTTAGAGTTCCTTTAACCACCTCTTAGGTTCAGCGTGGGGTTCAATTCAGCCTCCAGGCTTTCAGTTTTCCTGTAAAGAACTCAGAAGGTGGAATGTGTGATTTCAGCACTGACAGCTTTTCATTTCTCTCTTCATTTCCAACTCAGTGGAGAAAGAAAATCATCCGCACACCCATATCTGTGCAAACATCTTTTTTTGATTAGTGAGCTTTCCAGTTTAGAGATCATTTTCAAGTCAAGAACAGGTCAGGCCTTTCATTTCAGACAAATCAAAGCCAGACACTCAAAGCCGTCATCTTTTCAATCAGAGATGAGCCAGAGCAATCATAGACCTGCAGTACATCTTGAGCTCTGCGCTGCACATGGAAGGAATCTCGTTTTTTCAACAGTCCCTGCTTTCCTGTGTAAGTAAAAATGATCACTGCAGCTCCCCTCTGCTTCAACTCACTGTTTATCTGTCCGACCAACAACTTTACTGTTTTGGTTCAATCTCAGCGCTCTTATGATGTTCTTTTTAAAAGAAAAGCTGTAAAAACCCACTGTACACGACCTGCTCAGCAGCATACAGCAGACAGACACAGTTAGAGACTAGCTGGTGAACACAGTGAAGCATTTAGCAGCTAAAGAGCTGATATTTCCCTTCAGGAAATAACAAATATAATAAATACTAAAACGCTTAAAATGACAATACTTACATGCTGATGTTTAGCCGATTACATGTTTACCATCTTAGTTTAGTGTGTTAGCTTGCTGGCATTTTGCTAAATAGCACTAAAGTACAGCTGAGGCTGATGGGAATGTCATTAGTTTTGCAGGTATTTGGTCAGCAACCAAAGTTGAAGGGGATATTATTTTCTGCACCAAATTTCTTTGCAGTCCATCATATAGTTGTTGAGACATTTCACTCATGACCACAAACTTCAACTTCACGATGGCGCAACAGGAAAAAGTCAGGGGATCAACAAAATCAGTAAGATTTGTCCTCTAGGCACCATGAATGTGAGAGCAAAAATTTATGGAAGTCCATTGAATAATTGTTGAGGTATTTCAGTCTGGACCAAAGTGGCGGCATGGCTAAAAACTGACGCAGCTGTTGCGTAAGATGTGTATGCAAACAGAGAGACAGTCACATCATATGAGGTTACGAGGAATAACATTTATCGTTCTTTACTTCATGTGCAATATAGTATAATCGAGCAATATACAGATAACAGAATACATTACTTTGATAAAAACGATCTTTACAACATCTGGGAATCTCTGAAGAAGCTAAACGAGCCAAAGCTGTTGTAGACCCCATTACGGAGTCCAATGCAAAGCAACACATGTGTGTGACAGCGTGTGTGTTTGTGTGCAATCATAAAGACAATTAACCAGGTTTCAATTTCAATTCACAGGGTTAATGTTATTTATATTAAACAAAGTGCAATTTTAAATATCATCAACATACATTGAACATTAAATTCTTTATCTTTATCACTCTCCTCTATTGACTTATGATAATGTACAAGTGAATAAGCTCACATTAACTTTTATATGACTGTAAAAAGAGTTACAGTTCGGGACTTTTAAATTATAAACTACAAAATATAACATGGCACAGAAGAGATTGTGTTAAAGAAAGGCACAATCACAATGGACCTTCAGACCTCTGGAGCTGAAACAAATACAGGATTAAATAACATTTTTTATAGGTTTTTTTTAATAGAAATTCGCCGGCTCCAGCTCCTCAAATCTTTGGGGTTTGGACTGATGGTCGGACACAACAAACGACTTTAATATGTAAACTGGATTATTGAAAAAGTGCTTTTTTTTTTAGCCCGTCCTCACCACAAGAACGGCCGTACAGGTCGATTGTTCAAGCAGCTTGTTACGACCCACATTTAGGTTTTCTCATTAGGCTTCGACTTCTAGTGGCCGTGGTAAGTATGACTGGAGTAAATTAAGTTAGGTGATGTAGTATAAAGAGCCAGGAAGTTTGTGGAAGGGTGTGGATGGATGAGTCAAACACACAAAAGACTTTCACACAGGAGAATGAGTCAAGTTAAACTTACATAGGTGACATTACTTTGGTGGTTAACCAAGAAGTTTTGTTGCCTAAAAGTAACCAAACTGAGACAGTTTCACAACATATTTAACATAGCGTGACTCATGTCCGTTCGGCACGCCTGTCTCTGGAGTCGTACTTTCTAACGATCATACATGTCGTTAAGGTCTGAGGACATGTTGGTACTTTTCACAATTTGCTGACATTTTACAGGCAACGTGATTAATAAAAAACTGAGGAAATAACTGGCAGATTAATTGATATTAAATTTAGTCTGTACCTTTCAAAAGTGCAGTGACTCTGTGCTGGAAATACATTTATGTGCATGTGTTTTTGAGGAAATATATGGATAGTTTAGATGAAGTGAAAAGCTTAGAAAAACTCTTCACATACCACACACTTATCTTTTTATCTGAAGTTAGCTTAGTTTTTCAAAAGTTCACTCACTGACTAATCTCAAAATCTACAGGAAACACTCCCATAGGGCCCGGGTTTATAAGTATACAGGCATTTTTTTAATATGTTACACTAAAGAAATTAAATTACAGCAGAGAGTCAAGACCAGCATGCTAACAGCTAAAGTTTAAGTGACTGCCCCAAATCTCCAACCTGGCAGACTAAAAAGACTTATTTTAAACTCTTTTTTCCTCAAAGCCATGTGAACCTAAACAAACCAACACCTAAAATTGCCACAGAGTAAACTTTCCCACTCTGGATCGGACCAAAGAAAACAAATTGTGGGTGTGACTGCACCCTCAGATGAGGGTCAAACCTTCCTTCGCTGCAACAAACCAGCAGATTAAGAGCAGATCATGTTTTCAGTGCTGTCTTCGTGAACAAGACACACATCCAGATGGTGTTTCCGGTGGTCAGGATGCAGATGGGCATTGCTGACAGTTTTTGGTGGTGGGGTTAAGGTCTCTGAATGGCTCTGAAAGGCGTGGACCCTGCAGGCGGGACAGCAGGGTGGTTCGGCGCATGCTGCTGTCCGAATCCTGGTGGCTGAACCTGTTCTTCAGCCGGCGGCAACACGGCAGGCTGCTGGCGAAGTCAGAGAGGAGGTTGCCGCTGAAGATCATGTAGATCCAGGGGTTGCAGCAGCTGTTGAGGCTGGCCAGCAGGGCGGAGAGCGTCACGGCGGCGTTCTCAGAGTCTGCAGGGAAACAGAAAGGCACACTCTGAGATGTCAACAACTAATCTGAGGTGTTTACACTTTGTCTTGAGGGAAACTGTAGTGCTCACTGAGCTGCCTGCTGACTGTTTATTCTCCCCTCCAGGCCCAGTTTGACCCCGTATATAAGGGATTTAAAATCCAACAGAAATCAGTTGCAGACAGACTCCTCTATTTTCCTGGTATAACAAATATACCTTCCTATACACCATGCTGCAACAAACAATTATTATTTTTATCATTACAGATTCATTTTTTTCTCTGACCGCTCAGCGCAGGTCTGTCAATCGGTGGGCTTGTAGTCGAAAAGATACACTACATTAAAAGGGTTTGGAGGGTGGTGTGATCTTTCTCTTTCAAAAACCCAAAACACAACAGCAAAAGGGTATTAAGGGCATTAAACTGTGTGTTTGTCGGCTCTTACGTAAGATGCAGACGTTCACCAGTACCTACATTAACGTTAGTAACCGAGTTCAAGAGGAGGCATCAAAAATATCTTCACATTTGACAAGAGATTTTGATGTAAAAATACACATATTTTGCTTTTACCGAGAGAGACAGTTTTTGTGGCTGGAATAGAATTTGATCAAGTCTTTTTGGATTTAAGCTTTTAGCGCTGCAATTTAACATGTCCAGTTGTTTTTATGCCATTCCTCTGAAAATTTATTCATGTGGTCAAAGCGGTGACGTCCTTAATTTATGCATAACTTTAAACCAAGTGGCCATTTGATGCAATTCAACATTGTTCAGCTTTAATTGTTTTTGTGCCAATAAAAAGGACGAGAACTCAGTGTTCCTCTGAAAATGTTTTCATGTCATGTTTAAATAGTCCCTGAAAGCAGAACTTGGACCGTCATGAGTCAGTAAAACTCTCTTCAAGCCATAATGAAATTCTTCAGGTGGGTGGGCAGCTCCTTCAGGCTGACTGAGCAGGTTTTTGCAGACTTTGAGGCGGCAAAGTAAAATTGATATCTCCCCCTCCATCATTTGAAACTCACGTTGCACTGATTGCACATGTCAGTTTTAATAAAATGCCAAATATCTGTGTTTTTTATTTATTTTTTGGGATCAGGTTAGCCACATGCAAAGTTTCCAGCTGAAACCTTTTCACTTTTGCACCACTTTTTCACTCACTTATACACCTGCTTTAAAAGAAATAGTTTGAAAACGTGGAAATATTTTGGTTAGAAACGTTGCATGTGGCTCAGCTATGACAATAGCTGTGCGCCCAACTTTGGTTCCAGCAGCAAGAAGGAGAAGGGGGACATACACAGATATTTGGCACTGCATCTATAATAATAAATGTTCAAAAACGTTTGATTTAGAACTTAATTTTTCTATTAAGATATTTATTTTGTTGAGGAAAAGGGACTGAAATGAGATTTTACTTAATTTGTTTATAACAGATTTTATCATAATTGTTTTGAATGTTCTACGTCAGATTTGTGAAGTGATCCACTAATCCACAATCAGCCTTTACACTCAAAAGAAATAATGATTTGACATTTATCGTGATAATTATTGATATTGATTGATATTCAATTTTTTATCGTGATAACGTTTTTGCCATATCGCCCAGCCCTTATTGGGACATACTAAATTTGTTTCTGGCCTAATAAATAGTATTGGTTTTGGAATGTACCCCTGATAAACATTATACCAGCATGTTCGTAGGCTAATGTTAGCTCAAGGTAATGATGGCGCAACAGGAATAGTCAGGGGATCACCAAAGTAAACACAATTCAATGGTTTGCAACTTACAATATTTCCAGTGTGACCCGGACGTTCCTGAAGAGCAGTTATAAAGCTCTATGTAACAGCTCCAGCCATCACCAACAACATGGCATGCGTGCACTTTTTGAAAGAAACCATTATTAGCTTCCAAATCAAATAGTAAAAAAGGAAATCCATTAGACTTACGCGATTAGGGTGGATGAAATCTTGGATTTTATTTGTGCAGGCCAGTGAAGTGACGGAGCGCACTTTAGAGGTGACGGTGTTATGCCGAGTTTTGCATGCCTGCCGAGACTTGCATGCACCTCCAAATACTGCTTTTAAACGCTACAATATCCTTCGTGGGGTTCATCAATGGTGATAAATGATTCAAAGTATATGTTTTTTGAATGTTTAGAGTCGTTAATATTTTATTACACTACAGTAGAAGTAGCATTCATTGAGATTCAGCAAAAAGATGTGGTGATTACCGAGTTTAATCAATGTGCACAGCAAAGTGTCTGAAAAGGACCTTAAGAGGTGGATGCAGAATTTGGCAGAACAGATGTTGTAGGCTACCTGCAACATCTTTTCGCAGCATAAATGAGCGTTACCACTGGGAAAAAAATCGGCCCTGGCATTTTTGGCCCAGGCGGCCCACCAAAATCGGTCGGTCACCCCCCACCGATACACCATCCTTCCATTTAAGGGCTTATATTAGAGGTGTGAAACATAACATTGCAAGAACATATTTTAATAGGCTTATTATTTACAAGAAAAAAAAATTTATTGAAGAAATATTCAATAGGGAGGTCTGGGGGGTCCTCCCCCAGAAGATTTTGAACATAATTTCCTGCATTCTGAAGACATTTTCTGCACCAGGGAAGCACAGAATTCAGGTGACAGAATATAAAAATATCATGCAGTAATCAGTAGCTTATTATTGTTTTTAGCTTAAGTTACTTCTTTTGGACAACACAGAGTTTTCTTCTATATTTACATTGCATTGCAGGCTTATTGTGCAAATAAACCTTTTTCATAGCATTTTTATTTAGCATAACATAGCACTTCTTGGTGCAAGCTATTTTTCAGAACATTTTACACAAATGCTTCCAAAAAGTGGTGGCTACATGTCCCCAGCGTCCCCAGCGTCCCCAGCGTCCCCAGCGTCCCCAGCGTAAACGACCCTCCCTCCCTGCAGGTTGAGCTCCTCCATGCTTACCGCTTACTTGCGGCAAAACGCAAGAAACAGAGCAGAGAGGGTGGGGGCTAGTAAGAGATGTGTCAGTATAGAAAATTACCCAATGGGCCCCTGTCCTGCTCTATGGGCCTGTCCTTGGCCCATTTTTAAAAACAGTTATAAATATATGAGAGGCCGATTAGGGTGAAAAACAGACGCACACGCACTGAAAACTGTCACTCACGCACTGACAATGTGCGCACATACACTGAAAACACGGAAATACTGGCACATTCACATTGACAATGTGCACATACACACTGAAAATGATCATACATGCACCAACAAAACACCAAGCAAACGCACTGAAATCAGGCACAGACACACTGAAAATGTGCGCACACACATTAAAAAGGGCACACACCACCGACTGTGCATGCACACACACTGAAATATGTGTACATCCACATTGACAAAGTAAACACACACACTGAAAATATTCACACCACACAAACTTCAGAGTAGGATACAGGCTACTTGTCTGTGTGTGTATCTAAGTGTGTGAATGTGAAGTCATATCAGTGCCTCTTTCATTGTAACAGGAAGTCACCGATGCAGCTAGCTAAATATCCATGGTCAAAATACATGCAGAATGTGTATAATAAGATCAGTAAATCATTGCATGTTGTAGATCATAAAGTGAAGTGTTGTAGGTTTCATGTGAATAAGAAGACAGAGATGAAGTTTATAAAATATCTGAAGGTGAGGAGCAAAAATTAAATGTGACATACAATAAATATCCCTCCCTGTAGGTTTAGGGATGCTGAACTAAATATATAAATATAATAAATGATTAACTGTTCATATAATTGCTTAGATAAACAATCTCTCTGAACAAGGAATACCACTCGCACTGAAATCCATGTTTCATTATGTTAGCTGTGCTTTTATTTTGAAGGTTAGGACAGGAATCTAAGGCTTCCTGTTACACTACAACAGCTTCCGGGCGCACTAAAATAATTTTACACGCACACACTCAGATACCCCTGTATTTCAGTGTATATGCGCACATTGTCAGTGCGTGTGTGACAGTTTTCAGTGTGCGTGTGTCTGTTTTTTAACGTTTTCACCCTAAACGGCCTCTCATATTAATACATAATTTAGTTACATCAGCCCCAAAGGTGTGTTGGCCCGCAGGGCACTTTGCCCAGTATGCCAGATTACCAGTCCGGCCCTAGTTACCACCCAGGAGGTACATGCAATTCTTGGCAGGCCTGCAGAACACCAGAGCTCAAAAGGCTTAAACTCAGAGGTACTGGATCAGCACTCCGGCTAGCTCTGACACAAATTAAGCACTGGATGGCACCCACTTGTCACTCTAAGTGCGAAGTCCTTAATTATGCAAATCTTTAAACTTCACTTTAGGAGCCAGCATCAAGTGGTCATTTCATGAACTGCAATTTTTGGCACTTCCGCTTTAGCTTCATTTTTCAAAACAAGCCTTTACTTTGAAAACCTCTATGCACCCTCAGATTGTGCAGGTATTTAAAGACCTGTGGTGAGAAACAGGTGGATACGTTTTTGTGAACCACTGCTGTTTTTTTCATCAAAGCCAAAAAGTTAGCAGTAGGCCTTATCCTAATCTGAATAGTTAATTAAATACTTGAATAAATGCGTTGAAGATATATATGGTGATATTTTCCCATGTCCCTAAATAATCAAATTAACTAGCTGGCATTATCTCATATGCTGCATAATTGCTCCTTTGGTCTGTGAAAGCAAATAAAAGTGACCACTCTTTAAAGTCAGCTGTTGATAAAATAAAAAATACCTTCCCATTCGGTTCCAACCCAGATTACTGACTATGTAAGGTAGATAAAGACAGATTTTTTGGTAATCTTTGCACTTTTCTTGTGACATACTGGATAAGTATTCCTCTTCAGGCTTGTAGAAAATAGACAAATGAACCAACATGACAAACATAAACCACTCTCACTTTAATTGACTGTGTCTCGCGGCCGACAGAGCAAGTGACTTACCGTCCCAGGAGAAGGTCTGGTCCCACACTGACCACATCTGCACTGTGAAGAAAGGCGCCCAGCACACCACATACGCCAGCACGATCACAAAAGTCATCTTCACCGTGCGTAATTTGGCGCGGGAGATGGTGCTCACGCTGCTGACCGAGTTCCTGCCCAGGACCCCACTATCTTTGGCCTCTGCCACCGCGCCAGTGCTCTTCCTCTGAGTCTTACATTTGAGGTTCTTCCAGATAGTGCGGCAGATTAATCCATAGCAGAAGACCAGCACGATCACAGGCACGAGGAAGATCCCGGCCGTGATCCAGGTGATGTAAGCGCGCAACCCCCACGGCTCCATGAAGTGTGCCCAGCAGTCGTAGACGGCCGAGTCGGGGTGCACCTCGCTTAAGGAGAAAATGAAGTATTGCGGGATGCTGAGGACCAGGCTGCACGCCCAGGTGGAGCCGATCATAATGTGCGCGCGCTGCGTTGGCTGCTGGAGCGTCTGCAGCGGGTGGCAGATGGCGATGTAGCGGTCAAGGGTCATCATCACCATCATGTAGGGGGAAGCGAACATGCCCAGCACCTGCAGGTGCTTCACAATGCGGCACAGAAAGTCCGGCCCGTAGAAGCGGTAGGTGATCTCCCAGCAGAGCTGCGGCAGAACCTGGAAGAACGCGACCACCAGATCCGCCAGGCTCAGGTGCTTCATGAACAGGTGCATGCGCGACAGTTTCCGCCGGGTTTTGTGCATGGCCAGCAGCACGCTCACGTTCCCCACCACCGCGGCGAGAAACGCGAGGCTCAGGACGGTGATCTCGATCTTGGCCACCTCCTCGTTCCGTCCAAACGGGTCTGTGTCGTTTCTCTTCCCGCTGATGTTCCCAGCAGCCGCGGCGGCACCGGTCTCCAGCTGCTGCGTTAAGTTGAACTCCGCGGTGCAGTTTCTGGCCGTGATGTTGCCGGAGTTCTCCGAGGAGAAGAGCATGGTGGCCGCGTTTGCTCCGGGCGCACGGAGGTGGCTGCCCGGCTGTGCGCTACCGTCACCACCGAAGATTGTGGCTGTCAAACTCCGCGATTACTCCAACATGTACGGGATGATCTCCGGGTTGCACATGGATGCGGGAAGAGCGCAGCGGTCAAAGTCATGAACAAAATGAAAATCCAATTATTTTTCCCCCTGCGGCGCACAGTAACTCCTGGTTTGAATCCAAACTACACTGCAGCAGATCCAGCCTCTTTTAAAGGCTGCTTTCCCCGCGACCAGCCCCATACCCACACACTCAGAACACACACATATACCCCAACCCTGCACACACACTCTTCTTCTTTCCTCCCACCCACTTACCACACAAGATAAAGTGAAGCCTGCAGAGAGATATCCCCTTAGTGTGTGGACAGAAGCAAAAAAATCCTTTTATTTTACCCAGAAATTTAATTATAATTAGAAAAGGATGAATGTGAAATGCCAAATCAAAAAGAATAGACATTTTCTTTCTTTCTCAAGCCTTTGCGTTTTAGCTTTTATATTTTACATTTCAGGATCTTAAATTTTGCTTTTCATTTTCAAATTGCCATTTCACAAAATGTTTCTGATGAAAGAGAACCAAACTATGGCTCAAATCCTTCATTCACAGGCTGCAGTGATCAGTGTCTGTCTGTGCTGCATCTTTCCTCAGCACTCGGTGTCACAACAACAAGATCATTATTTCAAATGTCAGAACAGTCAATCATCAAATAACGATATTAAATTTAGCCTACGATAAAGGAGAGAAAAGCAGCAAATCCTCAAATTTAAGAGGCTTCATAATGGCTCTATTGTCACAGTAAATTAACTAAATTATTTTTCTGCACAAACTGCAGCCATAGGAACACCCCATGAATACATCTAAAACATGCTGCAACACTGCCTAACACACCCCCCCATGTTGATGTAGCCTTCCATCTATTCTGACCATGAAGTGTGTGTGTGTGTGTGTGAGCAGCATTAATGTGTTTATATGGAGATAACCTCAGCGCTTATTTACTCAGCACTGAGGGAGTAACCAAACTCCTGCCTCGCTGGCTGAGAGTGGAAAACTCCTGCAGGCGGATATATAAGAAGCATCAAAGTTACAGCTTCCCTTCAAAAATCCTCTCAAAGTTTTCCTGACTGTAATCACCTGAATTTATCTCTTTAAGCAGCCTATATGTTAGTTTTTAAAAAATCTTTTTAGGTCATTTACCTCAATGATTTCCTTAAAATCCAAACGCATGTCACTGAATTAATTACATGAGTAACAGAGAATAACAGTTTTTTTCCATGTGAAGAGCTGCTTTTTTCAGCTCAGTGTGAAATTTGACATTGGAACTTTTTTTCATAAAGTCTGTGCTTTGGAACAAGTCAAACATGTTTGTGTTAATCTGATGGATGGAGACATGCTTACAACAATAGGCCTATTTAAGAACCAACTTGACAAAAATAAACAACACCATCAGGAGAGGAAGATAAAAAAAATAAGACAGGCTGTTTTATGACAGGTGCATACTGGTATTCTGCTTTGGTACACTATTAGCTTTGTTTAAGCCTATATTGTTGCACATTTTGGCAAATTGTCCCCATTTAAAGTATGCTGAATTAGTTATTAGCTGATATGTTTGACTGTACCTGCAGATGTGCAGACAAGTATCACTGGATTACTGGACACTGAAGAAAACACGATGATTCTCAGACAAGATCTGAAGTGTCTTTTTTCTATTTATTTATGGACATTTACTCTCAATGGACTTCAAAGATAATTAATCTTGGCGAAGTATAAGTCACACTGAATGATATCAGTATGTGTTTCACATCTGAGTGTTCTTAGATCTGACTGAGTTATGACTCAGAGGAGTATGATTTTTGACTCAAATTCACCTCACGTAGTGTCTTTAGCTCCGCTTCAACTTTGCAGTGGGAGATTTTTATCTTTGTCCTGCTGAATGTCTACTACAGACTATAGCCTGTAATTTCAACATGGCTAAAATGTTCATAACAATCAGTTACATTACTGAGAAGCACAGTGAGTATTTAATCCCTACCTCCTCCTGAAATGTTAATCCCATTAGAATACCTACCTTTTCTCACCTAAGAAACACAGTTCCCTAAAATTATAACGCAAAGTGAAAATTTCTAAAGCAAAAGTCCGAAATTTTGGGAAATAGTTTGATAAGAATCTTTTAAGATTGATACCATACCACTCCCGTGTTTATCTGTTACTGGATTGCTTTGATACTGAAGAAAACATGATGATATACAGCAGCTGGTTATCTTAGCTTACCATAAAGACTGGAAACATCTGTCCAAACATAAAAAAGTCACCTACCAGCACCTCCAAAGCTCACTACCTGACATGTTCAATATCTTATAAACAGTCCGGCACATAACCCCTTTAAAACGACAGAAGGTTGTTTTTATAATTCAGATTTCCCCCTTTTTTCTTTTAGAATAAAATTCATTGAGTCCTTGTAAACAAACAATAAAAACAGAACGTTTCCCACCGTCACCTCACACTGGAAAAAAGCACATCATATGTTCTTGCACTCGCTGCCTTACAAGGCCTCAACCTATTATCTTAATGTTCAATCTATATGCAAGGATTGGAGAGAGGGATTTGGAAGTCACAGAGGCCAACTGTGTTTTTCATGTCAAGTACTCCTGCTGAGGCAGAGCCAGCTGATGATGCAGACCATTACACAATGTGTTGTGGTTAAACAATGGTGGGTAATGGTCGGTGCTGTCAGAAGTAATAGATTTATTACGCTGTGATTATGAAACCTGCCAGACTTGCATAATAATGATGCATATCCCAGTCTGCTGTACGCACTGATAAGAACTCAGATACTAGCACACTTGGGAAAGGGCAAATGTTACATACAGGCGTTTAATCTCAAACACACTTAAAATTTTTTGTGTGTTTTTTCAAAAAGGTTATGCTATAAAATACATATTTTTATAGTTTTATTCTTTAGAAAACAATGAACTTAAACAACTTAAAACAACATCGTATATAAAACAGTATAAACACCATATAACCCCAACAAGTTGCTTGAGACAGGATTAAAAAACTCCTGCCCCAAATCATGATTACAGCCAGGACTGCTGTCTTTTTTTTACATTTCTTTAAATAATACATTTGCTCTTGTTTTACAACTGTAATTCATCTTACATCATCTGGTAAGCTGTTTCAATAACAAAGACACTGAAAGTTTTAAATTCATGAAACCAACCCCCCCTTTTTGATACTAGTAGTCTTTTGCAGTAATAGCTAATTGGTGCATTTGCTTCTGTAATTATCTCTATTTCTGTTTTCAATGTTAATGGCAGTGGTCAACCACCTGAGTTTTCCTTGATGTTCACTAAAGATATTTTGTTATCCGACAGTCATGACTTAACCCAGACAGATAGTAAACAGTATATTAGTGAACAGGGGATCCTAAAGTCTTAAAGGTCTAGGGTGTAATATTTAATATAGCCTACATTACTATGTTTTTATTTGTATATAAATTCTATCAACACACACCTCTTACATAGACGGCGCCATGTTTCTTCAGTAGCCCAAACGGACACACTGCACTACAGAACGCGTTTCGTCACTACTGTTGGAAAAAGAAGAAGAAGTTGAAGTTGAAGTCTGGTTTGTTAGAAATAAGAAGAGAAGACATTTGCAAAGGGAGAGGTGAGCAGTGACTGAGCCGGTGGTTGCGTTTCACAACCCTAACCACTAGATGCCACTAAAACTTGCACACTGAAGCTTTAAAGCAAAATGTGCTTACCAGAAAAATGAACGGCTGACTACTTAGAGTGTCTTTTAGCACAACTGACTGCTGAACAAGACAGTGTTATGCGACCAAAATGTTACTTACAGTTACTTTTCATGAACTGAAAAGCACCTTGAAAGGGTCACAGCTCTTCGACAAAAACACTGCTACCCTGCTAGCTCTAGATGTGATACCTTTAAGCCAACTATTAAGGATTATTCTGAACTTTTCTGGGTTATCGCCAATGTTTCATGGCTAATGTAAACTTTTTCATCTAATCCAGAGTTGCGAGCGTTGTTCCATAATTTTCAGGGTTATCTCAATCACTTGAATATGACTGGTAATGTGGGGAAACATCAGCTTGGCTGGTGCTGATAATAACAATGTGAAATATCTCTAAATAAACATTTCACTGGCCAACACTGAAGCTGAATCATGTATGTTTATGTCTTTATCAATCTCTTCAGGCGATGAATTCATAGAATATCACATTATAATTGATAATGTGTGGTTTCCTGAGCCAGAAGTACGAGCATCTGTTCCAGGTGAATGATTGGTATTGATCTACAACACTATCAGGGCTCACAGATGTGGCCAGTTCTTGCAGTGAGACTGTAAATAAATCTCACTTATTGCCCTTCTGAGTTTTGATCTTGCTGTACTTTAATGAACTACACATTATCCCAGTCAGTCTGCTGGGTTTCTCTATTATCTCCCCGGGTCCTGTTTGGCCAGTTCAGTACAACAGTAATTCAATACTAAGTCACCAAAAGTCCTTGGGGCAAAATATGAGGAGCCAGAGAGGGTAGAGAAAGAGGAAATAAAGCAGTGAGAGTGAGAACGGACGTGAGCTGAGGTGAGAGATGGACTTTTTCCACTAAACCCTTTACTGAAGTTAAAGCAACAAACCAGTGACAAAATAGTATTTAACAGGTAAAAGTTTCTGCATTTAACTTGAGTTTTTAAAGTAAAATTCTGATAGTGTTAGCACTACAATGTACTCAAAGATCATATTTTAGGGTAATCGCATTACTTTGTCCTAGAAATTACCTTTACGTATAACGTATAATTGTTTTGTCATTCACGTTTTGAGAGAAAATTGCCTGCTGAATGGATTAAGTTCAATGATAACTTTTTTTCCTGTAAATAAAAGTGAAATTCTGGCACCAAATGAGCGCCAAAAGCCACTGCAAAAATCTATGACTCTGTGGTCACTTAATCTGAACATCTTGAATAAATAACAAATGCTGCTGTTTTTCTGGTGAGCACAGTCTGCAAAATATGAGTTTTGTCTTCTTTTCATTCTTTCTTTTTGTTTCTAAAACTCTTAAAATAACAAAAAATGGACATTTCAGAGATACACCATTTTAACCTGACAACGCTGATACCTTTCTTATATTTTATATAACAAAATTTCCCACTTAAATGAGTAAAAAGCGCAGATGAAGTATCTAAACTCCAAAAAATGGAAGTGTCAGTACCTCCAATCTGTACATCCCACCTGGATATGATGATTAAATATGTGTTG